GATTGTTAAACCCACATTCTATGTCTCATGTTGTACAAAATGTAATTTACTCTAAATAAAATAATAGTAGTCATATTTTGTACTAGTAGATCATACGTTGTTGCTCCCCACAGGAAAATGTAGATCCTTCCCTCCATCTGCAGCAGGAGAGAGGGAACCAGCCAATAGAGGAGCAGAAGCTGCATAGACGAGATCTGACAGTGAATGATGAACAGGAAATCTGGAAAGACATCACTTTAACTCAGTAAGAACATTTAGATATTGAATAATGGACTTGGAATGGAGATGTATGTTGATGCATAATATGTAAGCAAAGGGTCAAATCCTTCAAGTAGATGTCTGAGGATGTCGTTGTACAACTCAAGTTTGTGTTTTTGTGATTCAGCCTGCAGAGGATCCTGGGTGTTAAATCTCTCAATGAGGTTTTAGACCAGCGTCACGTAAACCCACAAAACATCATTCACAATATGACCAAAGTCAACAAACACGGAGTTGTCACACTGGAAGACAAAACAAGTAAGTTCATTAATCTCTAACAAATGTCCTTGGGTTTAACTAAATATCATCATAGATTAAAGTGCTTTATCTTAAACATGTAACCCTCTTGTGGTGCAAAGTAACTTATTCTCTCATTGAGAAGAATGCTTTACTCATATCTTGTCTATGTTTACTGCCTCCTTAGATGATCTCCCACACTGGGTTTTGTCTGCCATGAAGAGCCTGGCCAATTGTGAGTGGCAGCTTTTACATATCACCTCAACAACTCGCAGAATATGAATGTGCAAATTACAGTATTTAAACAATGCCTAAACAATGGTTTTCCTCTTTTGTTTAAGTCATCTTAAAGCCTCACATGATGTTGTGATAGCTGCATCAATCTGATTATTATTTTTAGGGCCGAAGTACGACAGTGACCAGCCTTCCTATCCCGGGTTTGAAAGAGATGTCTTCAAAACAGTGTCCGACTACTTCTACAGCCTTCCACAACCTTTACTGACATACGAACTTTATGAACTTTTTATCAACGTGCTGGGTAGGTTAACCTGTTCCCTTCTAATCCTTTTGGCTTTTGGGAAGCCACTTGAGGGATTTTTGGTACTCAAAATGAACTGCCAGGGACTTGAACACAACCTTTTTGCACAGTCTTGTTGACTTACTGCCTGTGGTGTGACTTCTAACAAGAAATCTGACTCCTAATGGTGTTTTTTGGAGTCCTAACAGACCTATAAATATCTGTATGTGTGTTCCAGTGTTTGTTTTGTCTTTGACAAGCTGATGTTGGTGTATATGCTGAACAAGTCTGACCTAACTAAACCCTCTCCTTTCCCCTTCACTTTCTGCCTGCACTGACCCTGTGCTTGCACTGCTCGGCTCCTTCTGCCTCTCTACTCCACTAAATATGCTCTCAGTGTTTTGTGGGTACATCACAGCACCCTCTAAAATCCAGCGAGGTAAACGGAAGAAGACGGACCTTCCCTCGGTTCCCCCGCCAGCCAAGTCGTCGTTTCGCTCCACAGAGTGTCTCCTCCTATCCCTGCTCAGACAGGGGTCATGTGATGAGGCAGAGTCCCCCATGGGGGAGGTGCTCGGTGGAAAACTTCAGTCACGACTGGACGCCCTGAAAGGAGATGAGGCCGGTGGCAGTCAGTTTGGAGGCAGCTGCACCAGCCTCAATACAGCCATTCCATCGAGACCTCAAACCAGGAGTTGCTCTTTGGAAATCATCCTGGATGACTCTGCTCCTCTCACCCAGCAGCAGCTGTTTCTGTCCAGTGAAAGCCTGACATCTTGCTCCCATAGCAACAAGAGCCAGCATGACAGTCCTTCCACGGCAGCGCTGGAAAGCCCCTCAGACTTTTCGGATGTGAACGATTCAGACCCACTCTATGAAAAGGCACCAGCAGCTTCAGTTAGAAGTAGACGGCCCGTCATTTCCGTGTCTGGACCACAAGGTGTACAAAGGTCCCGCTCGTTACGACCTCGTAGTATGGGCAGCTGCCTGGACATCGTCATGGAGACCAAAGAAGAAGATGTGAAAGAGATGAAGTGGCAGGATCGAGCCTCCAGCTGTCTCAACGTGAGCACCTTTGCAAGCCAACGATACTCTTCCTCAGCTTCGCACTCCTCCTCTCTGTCCTCCTATCGCCCCTCTTTTTCTTCCCATCACCTTCATTCGTCCTTTTTTTCAACTGATGCACCCCATGCCCCGGGGCCCGGTGGGTCCAGATCCACATCTACTACCTCTGATAGTTGGGCAGTGCCTGCACCCCCTGCTGTCCGGCGCTGCCTCAGCTCGCTGGACGTGTCCAAGGCGCCTCAAACTGTTTTGCTGCTCAAACCGCCTGTCTGTGTGCCTGCCAGAACCTTCCAGCCCCCCCAGTCCAAACCCGAGCACAGTAAGACCTCTACCTGTCTGCCTGCTTTGTTGAAGTGCCACCACATTAATCCCATCTAACCTCTAACATCTACCAATATAAGGGTTTTTAGAAGTACACCTCAAAATTTGAAGGTTGCATGTGTGGAAAAGGATTCAAAACGGCCTGTTGTTCTGTGTTCTTTTCTTAATACATTCTTTTCTATAAATGGTGCAGTTTCAGGGGAACAAAGGGCCCAAGAGCAGTTTTTAAGCTTGTTCAGATCACAGTTCAGATGCAGGACACTGTGTGTACCCAAAATGTCCACTTTTTTATGAATTTCAAATAATTTACAAATTACCTTCCTGAAATGTTCTAATTTTATACATACATGTTTTTAACAGCCTATAACCAACAGTATCGTATGATATTTTATCTTAGTTCTTACCCAACTCATCCTGCGCCATAGCTGTAGTTAATCTCATCATTCATCCATTCATCATCTGTTTGTAGTTTAATGGGCCTGTAGTTTCAGTGATGGATGGATGTGGACGTAAGGAGTCGTTCTTTTGTTTCTGTCTTTACTGACATTTTGTCCGTGTGTGTGTGTCCGTGTGTGTGTGTGTGTGTGTGTGTGTGTGTAGGTGTCCTCCAGCCTCAGTGTGAGCGTGTAGCCATTGAGGCCCTACAGCTTTGCACTCTCCTCCTCCCGCCTGCCTCCCGCAGGAAGTTGCAGCTCCTGATGCGGATGGCCTCGCGCATTAGCCAGAATGTGGACATGCCTCGCCTCCACCCTGCCATCGGAACACGAACATTGGTGAGGAGCTGGCGAACATCACCCGCCTGATCTGTAACTGCATCTTTGTATTATTTCTGTTTGACTGTATTTACTATTTCTGATTTGTTCACCTTTTTTTTTTTTTTAGATGGTTCACACCTTTTCAGGCTGTGTCCTGAGCAGTGCTGAGGAGTGCGACTTAGATGAGCTGCTGGCTACCAGACTGGTTTCATTTCTGATGGACCACCAACAAAGCATCCTCTCAGTCCCAGAATACTTGCTCAATGCGATCAATGATCGCATACAGTACCTACGCTCAGTGCAGGTACGCTTTTTCAACGGTCATCAGTGTAAAAGATGTAAAACAGACACCTAATCCATGCAGCAGTTTACTCTGTAATAAACATTCAACTTTACAAACACAGCCTGTTCAAGAGGCCCGGAGCCAGGAGGCTGAAATGTGTCAATCTTCACATTTCTCTGAAATGCCTCCCATGTTTTCGCTGTCCCTAACCAGGTCCCTGTGGAATCGGTTCCTGCCACTGACGAGGGGGATCCAGTTTGCCTGCCAATGCCGATGTATGCTTTCTGCCATCAAATCAGCGGAGCCGAGTTCGAACAGCAGAAGCAGGCATCTTCTCAGAAAGCCATGGAGGAGCTGCTGGAGATCCTGCTGACAGACCAAAATATCAGTGAGAAGGACAGGTGCAAGAAACTGAAGCAGGTAACATAATTCTCTCAAATGCTCAGTCAGAAGCTCCCATTCTATTGTAGAACTGGGAATATAATGAGGAATTTCTGATCTCTGCTTTTAAGAGGTTTGAGTTAACTGAGTCAGTGTGAGGTCACCCCTCTGTAATTTGTGTAGTGTCATTTTCTGGGTCTTACTTTAGCTTTGGCTACAGTTTCAGAAGCAGTACCCAGATATCTACAGGCAGCGATTCCCCTCATCAGAGAGGCAAACCAAGGGTGAAAACAAGCCAAAGATTAAACCCCCCCTCCTCACCATCAGGAAGACCAAAACCTTCAGCATCAGGGATTAGACCGAGCCGCAGTCTGGATGTTTGCTGCACTGTGACTTTGCACTCCAAAGCGGCATTTTGAGAAGTTATTCTCCCTTTGCTGCCAGAAATATTGTTACATTGGAAAGCTTGTTTTCTGTTAACACAGGAGGTGATTTAAGAAGCTTCTTTTAGCTTTCAAATAAAAAAAATACATGTTTTTATTTTTCAGTGCAACCATTTTATTTTCATTTGACCTGTTTGTGTGTGTGTTTAAACAAGGTTTAGAACATATTTGGGAAGGAAATATGCAATTCTGGGATCACTAGCCACCTTTTGAAGATGTATCTTAATTTATTGGGAGCATTGCAGAGTTGACGTAAGGTAATTGTCTTATGTATTATTTTATTTTTACTAGAATTTTATTTCTCTGATACTCAAGTTTTAGTTGGAATGTTCTCGAGTATCTGTGAAGTCTGACATTTTACCTGTTTTGAAAGTTCTTTCTTGTTGATTTTTTTTAATTGACTTTTCCCTTTTTAATTGTGGTGAGTATCTTTAGAGCACATAATGTCTTTGTTAAAGTAGTTTGTTTATAGGGTTTTTCTGTTTCCGATCCTCCTTTTCTTCACTAACTGTTAATTTAAACTGAATGAGTCTTTTCTCTTTTACCTGTCACCCCTGCTCTGTTTGCTGGTTAGTTAAGTGTTATTTGTATATATTGCTCCATTTAGAAAACTTCACCAGATACCTGCTATGTTTAGGTTCCAAGAGCTCATGAATAAAGGTTCAGATGAAATGATTTTTTAAAGCGTACAATAGTATTACTGTCTGAAATTATTTGGCAGTTTTACAGTATTTATCGTGTATCTTCCTTTAATGTACGAAAGTGAAGATCTCATATCTCAGATCTCATACCACATCAAATGTTTGAGGAAATGAAAAGGTTCTGTACTTCTTATGTTGGAATATATGAAGTGTTAGTTTTAATTAAGTTTGTTTATACCTCAGATCAAATGGTGCATTTGTACATGTAACCGCATATGATTTCATCAGCAGTGTTTTAAGCTTTCACATAGGAGTGTATGACATGCACCAGCAACTCCTCATTGTTTACTATGCAAAGTTCTGGGAAATAAACCTGTTCAACTCTGTAAGCAGATGAAGCATTTTCTGTCCAATTACCTCTATTTTCTTCTCTCTGGCTCTACCTTGCTGTCATTCCTGGATCCAAAATGCCAAATTACTGGCATCTGGAAAATAAACAACTCTTCAAAGTTACAATTCACAAAAAGATGAAAAAAGTCAGTTGTTGTTGTTTGTGCCAAACGCTTGTCAGATAGGTGTGAGGCTATTTCAGAGTCAGAGTGGCTTTTTTTTTACAGCCAGACTCATTTTAATACGACGAAACTGTAACACTCTTTTACAAACCTTAACTCCTGCTCTGCTTTTGACAACTTCTTTAGTCCCCGAATGAACAAATATTTTAGCTTCTTGTCATTCTTTCAAAGAACCTCTAATTTTTGGTGTGATGAAGGACTCCAGGCATTAGTGGTGACACGCTCAGTAGGTTACAGATTACTTGTCGTGCATCTTCTCTCTCTCTCAACTCTCAGCTTTGATTCATAGGATATTAAATGTAGACAAATGTATTCACTGGTTCCTCTTTTTTCCTTTTCCCTTTTTCCCCACGTCTCCCCCTCCAGCTAAGTAAAAAATAGTTTGTTGAAACTGTCTGGAACTAATTAGTCAGGATTGTTTCTCCATGAACATCCAGCTCCAAACGACACAAACACGCAGCTTTGAAAAGGCTGACTTTATTAGTTTGACCCACATCATTAGTAGGTGTGAGCGTTAGGGAACTGTGTTCTCAAGTTCACAAAGAACTTGTTTGGGTGCCTGCAAAAAATTCTGCATGGAGTCAAGGGCCAAGCCCTGAAAGAAGTGGAGACAAAGCTGGTTTGTTCGACTCTGGTTAAAGGTGGGGGAGGTGGGGAAGAAGTTTAGGGAAAGGGGGAGAAAGTAGAGACTCCCGAAAGCAACAGGAGGGGTGAGGAAGGATGGAGGAGGGATGGGCTAAATGAGAGGAGGGAGGCGGGGGGCTTAGTTTCCATCCCTCACCACAGGAAATCTGTGTGTGATTTAAATCCAAGCCAGTTTCTTTTGAGACTAGCTTGTGTGAAGAGCGTGTGAAGAGCAGACAGCAGAATGGTCAGCCAGTGAGTAACACTTTCTCTTCATTTTCCTTACTTAGTCTTACTCAGATTTGTAAGATTCAGACTTAAATGTCAGCTGGACTGAAATATTAGCAATAACATCTGGCAGATATGTGTTGTTTTACAGAAGATAGAAATATTTGATGCTGAGTCATAAGAGATGTTTGCAATGTTCCACAGCAGATGTTTTTATTCTTCTTTCAGTTTTTTCACAGTAAAAACACTTATAAACTATCTGTCAATCTTGTAAGATTTGATGTGGATAAAAAAGACCAAGCACTGATAGAGTCTCAACATATGAAGGAGAAGGAAGTTCAGAATTCCCTTTACAGAGAACTTTAATGCAAATATAGAGGTTTGGAGGACAGACAGAGTGCAAAAAAAGAAAAGATTGAAGAGATGGAGAAAGATGTATTCACAATATCAAATCCAGCAAGAGAATGTTGCCAAAGAAAGTTACTGCTAGTTGGATATCTGGCAAAAGGATCAAAAAGTGGTAATAGGGTATGAAAAAAAAGTTATGTGGTTAAAAAACTGTTTATTGACTTTCGGTTTTTGTCTCCTTCCCCAGCATAGAGCACCCTGCTGCGGGTTATAGAAAGATATTTGAGACAGTGGAGGAGCTCAGTGAACCAGTACCAGCACAGGTCACCGGTAAGTGACATGAAATGCAGATGTGACGCATGTTTTAGACTTGCTTAGAAATGTCTGTTTTATTTAGAAATAATTCAATAAGGTAAATGAGAAAGTTGTAAAATTTTAACTTGCAGCATGTCCCATCCTTTTCTCCCAGGTGTTATCCCGTCATGGCTGGGCGGCAGTCTTCTCAGGATGGGTCCAGGTCTTTTTGAGGTGGGAGATGAACCATTCTACCACCTTTTTGACGGGCAGGCTCTCATGCACAAGTTTGACCTGAAGAACGGTCGGGTGACGTATTACCGGAGGTAAAATACTCCGACTGTCCATTTGAGATTAAAGCTGATTTAAAATCCAGTCATTATGAATTACTTTATTTTACATGGTACATTTTTTTAACACATCTGTTTCAGTCTGTTGAATTATCTTTTTTCTGCATATTAAGTTGCAGATGTGTGAAGTTGTCATTGTGCTGGACATTTTTATGAGTCTTTAAGAGGTTTAATTAACATTTGCAGGTGTGAGAATGAAAAGCCTTATTGGATTTGCTATGCACTTTTTAAAAAAGGGCTGCTGAGAAAAGTAAAGTGCCTTACTTTGCTACAGACGGCTATACAAACATAAAGGGTTACATAACACGCAAACATCTCAGGATACAGAGAGATTTTTTATAATATGAGTGTAAATAGAAAACAGCTGGCTCACTGGTTAATCGGGCAAACAGTGAGATGTGTGTGACCTTTGTGCTAAGATTTATCAGGAGCGATGCATATGTTCGTGCCATGACGGAGAACAGAGTCGTCATCACAGAGTTTGGCACAGCTGCCTATCCAGACCCCTGCAAAAACATCTTCTCTAGGTAATGCCAAACTCGACTTCTCACATTACTCAAGTCTCCAGCTGAGATTTTGATGGGCTATATATTTTTCTCATGTTTGACATCTGCCTGTGCATCTTTTACTTGTGTCTGTTCAGGTTCTTCACTTACTTTAGAGGGATTGAGGTGACTGATAACTGTTTGGTAAATGTCTATCCAATTGGTGAGGACTTCTACGCTGTCACTGAAACCAATTACATCACCAAGGTTGATCCAGACTCACTTGAGACATTAAAGAAGGTAGAAGCTCATTTGTTGTGATTTATGGGGGCTTTTGTGTCAGTTTCAGGGTTTTGCTGATGCTTGGGGCATCGTATCGTCACTGAAGTATCTTTTTGCTTTGATGACAGGTAGATCTGTGTAAGTACCTCTCGGTGAATGGAGTCACCGCCCACCCCCACATTGAAGCAGATGGGACAGTTTACAATATTGGAAATTGTTTTGGCAAGAATATGAGTCTGGCTTACAACATTGTCAAGATCCCACCTGCACAGAAAGGTGAGTCACACACGTGTGGTTTTCAACTGTATACAAAAGAACGGAAATCTTTCCATTTTCAGGTCTGAATAAAAGTGGAAAAATAGTTCATTAGTTCCTAAATAACTACTAAATTACTAATTAGAACAATAATGCAATGAATGGTAATGTTAGGGAGAGAAATAACACCAGCACAGATAGGTCGAACTACAGTATATGCTCTCTCTGCCCACTTCAGCCTGGATAACATTTATAACATCATGCATATCTAATGTGTGGGTAAAGGTTAGGGGGTGATGGGATCATGTTGACTGTTGAATTTTGAAAAAAACTTGAAAAGTCTGTGAAAGTGGATTTATGCGTAAAATGAGTAAGCAAACCATGTTAATGGCTGAATGGTAATGAGTATCCTTTGACTCTTCATTTCTTTCTAGGAAATATTTGTTTTACTTCTGTATCTGTAGATATACAAGTTTCATTATGAGTCAGTTGTCCGACTTAAAACACATGAAAACAAACAAACAAGAAAGGCTTAAAGATATCGTTAAGACTGTAAAACTGTGGAAATTCTTGTCTGTGTGCTTCCAGATAAATCTGACCCCATAGAAAAATCCCAGGTTGTGCTACAGCTACCCAGCAGCGAGAGGTTGAAACCTTCCTACATGCACAGGTACAGGCTTTCTTCACGAAAGCAATAAGTATCTGTCACATGAGAATAGATCACATTCTTCATTCTTATTTGCTTGTGACTTGTCAGCAAATGTGCTTTGTGTCAGTCTGTTTTCTCTTCTTTGACTGTTTTTCATCCATAGTTTTGGTATGACGGACAACTATTTTGTATTTGTGGAGCAGCCCGTGAAGATCAATCTCCTCAAGTTTCTGTCTGCTTGGAGCATCCGAGGAGCTTCGTACATGGATTGCTTTGAATCCAATGAAACTATGGGGGTACGCAGGAACAAAGGGGGCTGCACAGGCTCTCTCATCTTCTCATCTACATGGAAGCTCCCATTCATTCCCTTAAAAAAGCTAAACAAACAGTGTCAGGACTTCACAAACTCAGTGTGCTGGTGTGTTTGTGTTGCAGACATGGTTCCATGTGGCCAAAAAAGATCCAGCAGGTTATATGAGCAGCCACAAGTTCAGAACATCAGCTTTCAACCTCTTCCATCACATCAACACCTTTGAGGACCAGGGATTCATTGTGGTGGACCTCTGTGCGTGGAAGGGGTGAGTGTGGAGCTGTGTGAGCTGTTGAGTGTGTTTGGAGTGTATTTGCTCATCTCGACTTGTCCTTCCCCCTGCAGTCATGATTTTGTGTATCACTACCTGTACCTGGCCAATCTGAGGCAGGAGTGGGAGGAGGTGAAACGAGCAGCTATGCGAGCCCCTCAGCCCGAGGTCAGGCGATACGTCCTGCCGCTGGACATTCACAGAGTGAGTCTGCACACCGCACCTTTCGAATGTCATCACCGATGTGTCCGTCCTGACGGCTTTAACGATGCGTTGGACAGCAAACATCAACCGTAATTGGTTGGCTTCATGTAGGGTGCCAAGGGGCCCAAGTCATCTGGGAGGGGCTTCTCAAGAGCCACTGGGACCAAACACCATCACTTCTGTTTTCTTTTCATGAGATTTTAAAAAAAGTTCCATGACATCCAGGCTTTAATGTCAGCGGCACATAAAACTGGCTGTCGTCGGTGAAATATTGGAATGAGATGCCATGCTTTCCAAGGATGGAGCCCAGAGGCAGCAAATACAATGAAAAGAGAAATGGCCCTAAAATTGAACCCTGTGGAACCCCAAATGACAGATCGGGACTAAGAACCACCACATGAATTAGATCAAACAATTTACTCACACGTCATGGAGTTTACCTATTTTATTTCAAAAGGAAAATTAAAAAAAGGTTTTATTTGGAGTAGTGGACGTGTATTTGGATGTGTGCAGGAGGAGCAGGGGAAGAATCTGGTGTCTCTGTCCTACACCACAGCAACCGCTGTTCTTAAAAGCGACGGCACCATCTGGCTCGAACCTGAAGTCCTGTTTTCTAGACCAAGACAAGGTGACACAGACACACACATTATGCACACGTACAGACACATATCAGTTAAATGATAGGACGGTTTGTTATACATAAATTGTCAATTTAGTGTCTTGTGTCAGGTTTCTTTGGTCTCTTGATGATAGGATTAGTTATTTTCTTTAAAATCCCCATACTGATATGGTGTAGTATTTACACACCAAAACAGCATCATGTCTGCTTCCTTGTTTTAATGGCAATGTATCTCTCAGCTTTTGAGTTTCCACAGATCAACTATTCTCAGCGTCGGGGGAAGAAGTATTCCTTCACCTACGGCCTTGGGCTCAACCACTTCATCCCTGACAGGGTAAAAGCTCTTCCACTGTTCACAAAATGAAAGGGTGGGTTGTAACATTCCACCCTTACCACGCAAGCTACTGTGTTTCCAACTTCTGGTTGTTGCTGTAGATTGTCAAGCTGAACGTGCAGACGAAAGAGACCTGGGTTTGGCAGGAAGATGACTGCTACCCGTCAGAGCCTCTGTTTGTACCCACACCTGGAGCCACTGAGGAAGACGATGGTGTGACTCACACCCTCACATTCTAAATTAAGCAGCAATCTTTGGATAGGTTTAACGAGGCAGTAAATTCTTCTATAAATAGTTTTCCAAATGCCGTTCATCCAGTCTGACAGGTGCAATTCGGTCAGTGAGATTTATTTTTGTAATAGTTTTGTGTAGATCAGATATATTTTGTAAAAAATGAAGATGTACTGCAATTGTCAGCCAGACAATGAAGAGGTCTGAAATCAAAGCAAACCCCCTCTTCAGCTTTGTGTATCAACAGATATATATGTAGCCTATATGAAAAAACAAAACAAACGTGCATACACATCCATATCTATTGAACAGAAGTTAGCCCAAAATGCAGAACCAGTGTGTGAAAAGCCAACGGGTGGTTCAGCAACATGAAAATTAGTCTTTAAAAGCCGAAAGGAATTTTGCCATCGCTCTCTTAATTTTAATGGTTAAACTCTGAGCTGAAGATTGCAACACCAGTCCAAAAAGCTGAACATAAATCATTTCCAGCTCACTCCCTCCTCTTTCTGGTTGTGCAGGTGTGCTGCTGAGCATAGTGGTGAAGCCCGGGGCAGAGAGGCCGGGATTTCTGCTGGTGCTGGATGCCGTGAAGCTAACAGAGCTCGCCAGGGCAGCAGTGAACACCATCATCCCTGTCACTTTTCACGGGATGTACAAGCCCTGACCCACAACCTTCCTCCTACGCGCTTTTATTCCCCTCTGTGTAGTGCCTGACATTTTAGCTTGAATACAGCTCTAAATAGTTTGAGCAGCAGCTAAAATTCCCATAACTGTATGTGCTGGAACGGGTTAGAAAGAATCCACTCACTGATTTAAGAATAGTTTTGTATATGATATATATACTCCTGAGAACTGTTATGAACACCTGAACTCAGAAAGAACGAATTAAAAACATCAAACACAACAACTATTACATTACTGTTTTAGATATTTTTACTCCAGTAATCATAACCGAGAACAATATTACAGTACATTCTTTTTGCAATTTGATCATATTACAGTTATGGTTTTAAGTTCCTTGCTTTATGACAGCAGATTTAATACAATCAACAATAAATCGGGCCTTGTGAGCTCTGGAAGATCAGGTTTTGCTCATCATCTGTCTAGACTCAAAATGAAACATCTGTGAACATATATGTAAAGGTGTAGTCCTTCCTATGTTTAAAAAATGTTTTTTTACCTATAAAAGTTTTCATGCATAACAAGTTAATCATTTTACTCTCAAATTTGTATTTTTGATTGACAACACATTGACATATTCTTCACTTTTATCTAGTTAAAACTGTTCAAAGTCACATTTGCTGCTGTGAAACTGTTTAAATTCATCACTCAAATTGGTTAATAGGATTTTATTCGAAATTGAACAAAAACCCACAAGTTAGATAATTTAAAAAGACTCTTTTATACATATAAACAACAATTACTTTACATGTGTGATTACAGAATGATGAGTGAGCTCTGGTGAAGTGCATATTCTTGTGAGGACACAATCCTAAATGAAAGATTTTCATATAAACCTTCCACAGCTGGATTAAGGCAACGAGGACTATTGTGCTGCAATGACTAACCCCGCACTATCATTGCCTGAATAAACTCGTGTGGGTTGTGTCACAGCAATGGACGACAGTCTGCTGGTCAACATGGGGTATACCATCATGTCAAAAGGAAAAATGGGAAGAAAAAATTAAAGAAACCCAAAAAACAGAGGATTCACTTTTCAGGAATTTTGCAGAAATTCTTCTTAGACTATTTTGGCTCAATTTGTACATTTACAACTGCTCCATGTAAGAAAAGCTACTATAAAAGGTGTATCATGGTAGAATTGTCTGTAAGACCTCTCTTAGAACATACCATTAAATTTAGAGATCCTGAAGTTTCTGCACAAAAAATGTGTTAAATGATCCAATTAAAGAATAGGCAACTGTCATAATTCAACTAAAAAGTTGTATAAATTTAGGTCTAAAACACAGCAGCAAGTTAGGAGTTATAGATGGAGAGTCCATTGAAAGTGGGAAAGCTGAGACAGAAGCTTCTATACGCGTAGAAGAACTGACTGCTGTTTCTCTGTAGACAGCTGATACTGCCGCTGTTTGATGATGTTCAGGGAGTCCTTTAAGACCTGCACAGAAAACAGATCAACAAAAAGCAACATTAACTGTGCTAAACGATCCTAAATAACCCCAACACCCTTAATCACACATATAAAACGCTTCATTTTACCTTCCTGGTGTCCTGTGGAAGAATGACTCCATCGTCCCACATCCTGCCGGAGGAAAAGAAAGCTGTGCTTTCTTCTTTCAACTTGCTATTCAACCTCTCCTCCTGCTTCTTCTGCTCCTCCTCCAGTTCGAAAAGGGGAAGCAAAGAGGCAGCGTGACCTGGAGCCGTCATTGACACTCTGGCGTTGGGCCACAGGAACAGGAAATTGGGGTCAAACGCCCGTCCACACTGCCGACAAACAGAAAACAACATGGTCGATTTTTTTAAAGAGGATAATGCAACATACTGTAGAAAAATGTAAACAGCATTTATACCAGGCCAATTCAGTCCAATCCAATTAAACAAAATCCACTCAGTTCAAGTATATTAAGTTGAAAATGCATCCAATTCATACAGAGCCAATTAAAAAAAGTTCCCAGCCAAGGAATCCAGCAGATCGCATCAAATCTTTTCTACGATCCAATCCCTTATGAGCGTGTACGAGACCATGGAAGGAAAATACCCTCTTTTAACATGCAGAAAGCTCAGGCAGAACCAGACTCAGTAAATGCAGCTATCTTCCCTGTCAAGCTGGGGTTTGTTATATTTAAAAAAAGCAAAAAGAGTTAAAAAGAGTAATTCAAAGGCTGGGTGAAAAACACTATGCCTTTTGTCAATTTTCAGATAGGTAAAAAAAAAAAGTTTTTTTACAAAGTTGCCCACCATAGCGTAGCTGTCAGCACCATGGCAACCACCTATCACCACCGTGATTTTCGGGACAGAGGCACAAGCCACTGCGGACATCATTGAACCCTGCGCCTTCAAACAGTTACTGTTCATCTCTGCCTGGAAAAAGAAGAACACAAGGTAAAAAAATGGTGTTTCAATCATTCAGAGTTATATTAACCGGATCAACTATAATCCACAGTTCATTCCAGGCAAGTCAGGACATGTCTTTCTCCACATTTCTATGTTATTTGGTGAGCCTACTCCTCCTGCATTTGAAACTAAACATAATCACGTATTCAGAAGGACGGCCTACTGATAAGTGAATACCTGTGTGGTGGAGAGAGTGAGTGCTGCTACGGGTGCTGTGTTCTGGAGAAAGATGAGGGGAACATCTCTCTGGTCACAGAGCTGGACAAAATGACTTCCTTTCAGTGCAGCTTCATACGACAGCACCCCGTTATTGGCTACAATTCCCACCAGGTGACTAAAAGAATACATATACTGAGTGTTACATCATAACACGCTTTTTATGTTGAACATGGAGAGATTTTGTTCCACGCTACTCTTAGATTTTAGTATAAAGTGACTATTCTCACACAAATTTAAAAACAAAATTAAGTTAGAACAAGAGTCAACTACACAACACACACAGTTAAAATTCAAAACACATTAAATGACAGGTAAATCCGTTACAGATTACACCTGTGTTTTGATCACTTATAAGAAAAAAAAAAAACTTTCCTCTGTGAGTATTTGCACTATTCCCCAGTGGCCTAAAGCAGAGCCAGTTATGATATGTCAGGCCTTAAAACTAAACAGAAAAAAAGGAAAGACCTGGAACTTCTTCTCTGTGTGTAGGATTGCATCTTTTACCCATGAATCTTTGCAAAGCCAGTGATTAGTGTAGTTCCGTAACCAGCTTTAAATTCCTGGAAGCGGCTTCCGTCTGTTAGCCGACTGACTATCTGGACAGAAAATTAAAAAAAACATTAGTGCAAGATTTAGGGAAACAACACATGAACAAATTCCAGAATCCACAGAATCAATAGCTTTGATGCATTCGTTACCAATTTGACATCCAGACTGTAGCTATAACTCTGAGGAGCGAGGCCCAAAAGCTCATGTGAATTGTGCAGGGGCTCCTCCACAGCGCTCTTCTTCGCAAAGTCCTCCTCTTCCTCAGGCAGTTGGAAGTTCAGGGTTGAAATTATGTTTCTGGTGTAATCGAAGGCCTCTTTTTCTTCCCACGCAAAATGATCAACGCAGCCGCTCACCCTGAAAACACACACACAGTGAATACAGGCTAATATGACCTCACAATTATTTCTCTCTTTTAGGGTTAGCTTGATTTATGGACCAACTCAGAGTGAAGTCTAGCTCCTCCCAGGTCCTCTGGGGTCACTTCTTCACCCGTGGCAGCTTTGACAAGTGGCGGTCCCCCCAGGAAAATGGTTCCTATCCGGTGCACCATTACGGTCTCTTCTGCCATTGTGGGGATGTAGGCTCCTCCGGCTGTGCAGGACCCACATACCAACGCCACCTATAGGAGCATTCCTTACTTTTCCACTGGTTTTAAGATTTTAGTTTTGCATGGAGTCAAGATGAGCACCATGTTCTTGATCATTATCAAGTTAGCTGAAGAAAAATGTTCTTTGTAAATCTTTACCTGAGGGATCTTCATGGCGGACATGATGGCTTCATTATAAAAGGTTCTTCCTCCATGGTTCTTATCAGGAAAGATCTCTGACTGAACAATATTACACAAGGAGGGGATGAGAAATGATCATAGTCCTTATTGTGATTCAACTATCCTTCAACATCCTCAACAGAAAATGAAAGAAATAAAATATGTATAAAATTTGCAGTGAATGTGTGTGTGTGTGTGTGTGCGTGCATGTGTGAGTTTGTTAACCTGCAGCGGTAGGAAAGCTCCGCCCGAGTCGACCAGGTAGACACAAGGCAGGCGGTTTTGGATTGCTATATCCTGAGCTCGTAGCTGCTTCTTTACAGAGATTGGGTAAGCAGTGCCGCCTTTCACAGTTGCATCATTCGCAATAAACACACACCACAGGCTATTGATCTTGCCAATGCCTGATAATAGAAAACATAAGCGAGTCATAAAATAATAGGTAACCACGAGAAAGAAAAAAACACAGCAAAACTGTTAGCTGAGTAAATCTACAGTCAACCTGGTGTAATTATACATTCTATGGTATCAAAGACTGCAGTGTGAAGTTTTTGTTTACCTGTGAGGCAGCCAGCTGAAGGGATGTCCCCATAAGGAAGGCCCAAACCAGCAAATGGTGAAAGCTCCAGGAAGTCCTCATCATCTAACAGCAGACGCAGTCGATCCCTCACAAGCAACTTGCGGTTTCTTTGAGTGTGTCTGGCTATGGCGTTTTCTCCTCCCCCCTTTTTCACCTTTTCTTTGAACTCTGCATACCTGGCAGACAAAGGAAACCGTTTAACTTTTTTTAGTAAGAGAAATGTTCACAGGACAAGAAGACATTCAAATATAACATTTTATCAAGCAGGGGTGGGCATGCTTTACATCTATAAGTCAACAGACTATATGAATAAATAATGCAGTTGGCAGATTTGCATTAAGAATATCTGATAGAAGCTGAGTTCTGTGTCCCGCTGACCTGAGCAGAACCTACTTCTCATGACAGGCGTTGCTGTTTTTCAGGTTTGCTTCATATACGTGGTGATGGATGGGCTGCAGGGGCAGGTCCAGCACTGGGAAGGCACTGCGTAGAGCTCTCCTCTTCCCGGCCGCTGAGCTCATAAGGCGCACTGAACACCGCCAACGCTGCTCAGCAAACCTGCAGCGCACACACACCATCCAGCAACACAACCAAACCTTCAGCTTATAACCTGTATTCTGTATGGGAATGATAATTAAGAGACATCATTTGAAAAAGTTTAACACTGAACATTACTTTATTAGTTTTCACGATTAATTTAACAATGTCGGTGATGCTTTGTATAATTTTACTTTTTAATATTCTTCACGTTGGACCTTAGTGCTTCAGAAACGTAAAGTAATGAAACACCATTTTGTGTAAAATCCTATCAGGATAACATGTACTTTTTCTTCAGTGTGGTGTTTGTAGTTTTCCATTTTGCTGAAATAATGAAAGAGCATTTTAAGTATTTGTACTTTCATATTATAAATAAAGTTGAAGACAATAGACCAAAGACAGGGAAAACAACACAAAATGCAAACAAACTTATGCTTATGTCCTCAGTCAGTCTAAATGATAGTTGTTCACTTCTGGTCTTACTTTTCATCCTAACGTGGAAACAATAAACAGAAAAAGAGGGTATGTGCTCTATGTTTTAAAAAATGCTAGTAAAACTAAATGTTAAATATGTAGAAATATATTAATCACGGTTATGTGTCTGCACAAATAGTTCGCTGAGTGTGTCAAAGGTCGCCAGCAGGAAGCAGCAGGTGACACATAAATGAAGATAAACACATCGCTGGACATAGGAAATGTCCTTCTTCTCACCTTAAAGTGCAGCGGTGCATGTTTGACTGCGTCTGCTGCAGCACGGTTGAATTAAGTTTAGGAAAACTGAACTTAAACAAATGTGTCACTCCATTGGCGTCAAAGGCTCGAGAAAACTCTTCTTCTGTGCAAATGTTGGAAGCTGTAATGCTCTAATGAGGAGCATCGCCCCCTACCGGCGAGAAACACTCCCTGTAGGTGACCTCAAATTAAAACTTTTATATATTTATTCTTATCCCAAAGATAAGACGGAGTATTAGGGCCAAATTAAATATAATGGAATTAAATATGGGATTAAAGTCGTTATTAAATATGGCGAGAATAAATCAAGAGTTTAAAATCGCAATGGAAGAAAATGCATCTTTTCAGCATAAAGAACCAGTTGCTGCTTTTGTGGAGGGGAAATGGCTGGAAGTGGTCGACTGCAGGGTTGGATGGTGGATGCCGGCTATTCAGAGGGGTTTTATTCTCGCCATCTTTAATAACTACTTTAATCTAATTTTATATTCCCGCCATATTTAATAATCTTATATTTAATAATACTCCGTCATACAAAAGATAATGATAACAGACATTGAATTGTTGGTATTAAATATAAAATATCCACTGAACTTTGATATGTGTAAAAGAATGGAACTGAAATATATACATATATTACATCTTAATAACTTTGATCCTGTTTCTAAAGGTTTTTTTTCAAAGTTACTCGATCAAAACAAAGTTCCTTTTGTTTTGCTTTCTTGCATATTATCTTCTTCTGTAATTTTCTAAACGTCTTTCTAGGTATTCATGATGTATTTAAAGTATTAAAGATGATCTGCTGCATTTATTCACCTTTCCACTTAATGTGAAAGCTTGGACCAGAGGTCTTGAGGCTGTTCAAGTTTTTAGATGGAATCCTAAATTCACTGTAATTTCAACATAGTTAAACAATGTATGAGAGAACTTGCTTAATTCTAATCCAGTGTTTGCCCCACCATCACAAGACTGCTGGAAACTTGAAGCAGTGCCATTCTTATTGTTACAGAAGAATGATTGTAAGTTTGCAGTCATATGATGAGTTGGTAAACCCATCTGAATGCTAACTGGACAGGAGGATGCACCACTAAAAATGGCCCTTAGAAGAAAGTCAATAAAATGTTGAAAATTTGCCCTTAAATGTCTGTAAATCTTAAGATTATTTGCAGATTTACATGAAAATGCGTGGCTTTTTTGGTGTGGTCTGAGGCCGGGGTCACGTGGAATTTGCCATATCGCTATTTATATATTTTGGACGCTAGAGGGAGCTGCTCTATTAGTAATAATTTATGTAGGATCTGATATCTCATGGGTCATTTGTTATAGCAAGAATTACATACAGTATGGATATTTTCTATCTCCCCAAGATAATTGTGAATTTGTACCTGGTGATGACCAAACATTACATCTAGCCCTAACTACTCAGAAGATTTGGATTACAGAGCCCGTCTGGTGACATAAGAGGAAAATAATATAACTCGAGCCCCCGACGTTATAACTCGAACCCACAACTTCATAACTCTAACCCACAACTTAATACCTCGTGCAAATGACTTAATTCTTGGGCACGACTTACCTGGCTGAAGTTGGTTTCCGATTCAAAGCTTCTGATTCGCCATTGGCATAAAGGGCGATTTCACTGAATTTTCTTCAATTCTGATCACACTAAACTGGGTCCTGTGTGGAAACTACATCGGCTACACTGCTCAAATCTGGATGTAAAGAGACTTTAAAACACATTGTATGATTTGTAAACTTTTTGAATTTTATTTGGACCATCCAAATCTAGAACCTGTACGAAAAGAGAGTTATTTTTCATTCAGAAAATAATATACATGATATCAAACCCTCCTCAGAATTTGGGAAACCTTTCTTTTTGTCCCAGAATTCACAGAAGTCCTCCCCTCTCCATGTTCATTTTACTTTCCACGAGGAACTCCTGTCTTTCAAGTCCTGGGCACGAGTTATTAAGTTGTGGGCACCAGTTATATATATTATTATTATATATTTTCCCTCTCATGTCACCGTATTAGATAGCCTAATAAACGTAGAAACTCATAAAAGCATAGCTACATTTAAAAGAAGCTTTTTGAGTATGTAATCATTCATTAATGAATAAATAATACGCAATAAACAATATAAATCACATAACAATTCCTCTATGATTGACTAAATAGCATACTACACGACAACACAGACAGACTCTCGAGGGGTGCAATATAAATAGCAAATCCCTATCATGAATGATCGGTTATACCTTAAAAAAACTCTTTAGTGGGTGCAACATCATGTATTAATAAATTGAAAAATATACCTACAATTCAAGAGATATTCTAACATATGGCAGGGTCAAAACAAGATAAAGCTGATAAAATAATGATAATGTTGTTATTAGTTTGGTGTGGACAGTTAATTCCTATTCATGAGACATAAATCAGAAAATTATGATTCATATAAAAAAAAAAAGAATTATTCTTAACTTGATTTTATTTTTTTAATAGCTTAAATGACTGTCTATCTTGTTTTTTCTTCAAACCTATGTTTTTAAACGTTATGCATGCGTTTTAACTTATATTTCTAAGGTCTCTGTGGTTTGGGCGGACCTGCCGATTCAGGAAAACTGGGAGAAGGAGGAGGAGGAGGAGGAGGAGGAGGAGTGTGTGAGCCTGTCGGCAGGCAGTCAGGAGGACCGGAGAGTCTCAGCGGCAGTTTAGGAGAGCCCAAGCGGAGAAAACTGAGTCCAAAACGGGAGAACTTACAAGGAGGCATCCGCAATGAGTTGGGGAACGGAGCTGTGGGTAAGTTTAAACTCTCCGTGAGCTACTAGGCATCCGTTTGTTTCCGCTGCTTTGCTTTTGGACGCGGACACCCCGGGGACTTTTGGACCGAGTGGCGGAAAGGTGCCGTGTTACCTTGTAGCTTTGTGTGGAAGCGGCTAGCGCCAGCGCTATCCGGCCGGCTGCGCTGCTAGCCCGCGAGGCTAAAGCTAAAGCTAATCCGCGGTGCACCTTAACGGCTGTGACAGCGGCGGAACAATGGGCTGAAAGCCCCCAGACGCACGGGGCACGTTAGCCTGCCGCGCGGGGCGGAGGGGGGGGGGGTTAACCACACTGCCTCCTGCTTACGGTTACTTGTTAACTTTAATACCACCGGGCTGCTGAATGGACTGTTTCCCCTTTGTTTGTCAAGCAAGTTGTGAAGTTGAATCTGTATTTTGTCTCTGTGTGTGTGTGTGTGTGTGTGTGTGTGTGTGTCACACCCTTTTTCTGGAAGGCAGCGGGGTGGAGGAAGACCACCATCCAGATTGGTCTCCTTAAATTCACCTCAACTTCACTTCCGTTTGTTTCACTCGCTGATTGGCACAGTGTGCCCCTTTGTTGAGAGCCATCGCTCTTTTGTCTTTTCTTTGGCGTAATGTGAGGTCCTCCTTGTTGCTATGAACAGAACCAGCCAATATTTAGCTCTGATATACCTCCTCATGGCTGTCCTGCTTTCTTATCAATTAAAGCTAGTACTGACAATAAGGAAGTCCTCTATGAGAGGCAGTGGGTATCAGAGAGTTACCATGTCAATTTATATGTGAAAATAGGTAAATATTTGTTTCATTTAGACATGGTGTAGTTTCCGTTCTGCATATTTTGGGGTGTTGGCCATCACAGCCTGTGTAACCAGAGAGGCAACCGGCAGCATCCCCCCTCCATATGTGAGGAGGAGGGGATTCTTCACCTCCCCAAGATGATAACTCCTCCAGCTGACCTCGTGCTTATTATCTGCTGTCCGACATGAGCTGTTTTTTTGCTCACTCAGCCCCCAGATGTAACATGACCGTGCTGCTGCAGACAAAGAGATAAGAGTTTGCTTTTGTGAGATTCAGAAGGATTGTGAAAGGAAGCACACATGGACATGGATACGATTTGTCTTTTATTTCCCTCCCCATTTATGTTTTCCATTCATTTTTTTTCCCCTTGTATTTTTTCCGCAGATCAAGCACAAAGAAATATTGATACCTTGTCACAGGTTTTCCTGAGACTGAGAGAGAAAAACGGGGTCGCACAGGGAGAGAATATCTGTTATTTTAATGTAGTTTAGTTTAGATGACCCTCAACCATACATATTTCTCCCCGACTATTTATTGGTAAAGGCTGAAAGCTTGAATACACTTCACATGCAGCAGGTTACATCATGCACTAACTCTTCTCTAGGATTTGCAGAGATATCCCTCCGAAAAGCTTTAGGTCCGGACCAGAAATGGAAGACACCTTGGGAGAGGAAATTCAAGAAGTCAGATGGTTTTAGCAGGCGGTGGAAATACAAAACACCCCAGAGGAATAACAGCGGGTTCTAAAAAAAGAAGTCCAGATTGAGGAAGAATCCATTAAAAGAAGTCCGTTAAACAAAGAAAGACGGGTGAATATTTAGTGACATTTTTTTTAAAAGCTTCTCTTTGCATCACCTTTTCGTGGTGGTTGTGGTAAAGCAAAGCGCATCTGATCTGGTGAGTGGAGAAGCTGGCCAACAGACCAGCGTAATCCCTGAGTCCTCTGATGAGATTAATGTGCTGGCTGTCTGATGTCAGATTAGGGATTATCCTCCAAAAGACACGACGTGAAACTGTAGATTGGCTGTTGTCTTTTACACATGAATGCTAATGGTATAAAAGTACAGCCAATTTCGTTGATTTAACTAATCTTTAATGAGGTTAGAAACCCCTTAAAGCTGTATGCCTTTTGGAGGATAACTAATAATATCACTCATTTAGAAGCTTGTTGCTTCCAAAGGAAATCTGATGTTAATTTTTTTTTGTTTTTATTAGTCAAAGATTTGAAAATGACCCAGTACCAAACAAATGTAAACCCAGATGATAATTCTAATATCATGCAATACAAATAAATCCTCAACATATTCCGTTGTTGCCTTTAATTGGCGGTGTTTTGGCATTTCTGCTGAACAAAAATAAATTATATTTATTTTTCCAACCAACTCATGGCTGCCTGCCTCTTCT